ACTGTTGCTCCTGCTCGGCTGGTCCTGCTGCTTTTGTTGCTGCTATTGCTTCTGTTGCTGCTGTTGATGAGGAAGCGGATATGGAACATGAACGGAAGTGCCGAGCAACGCCGCAGCTGTCAGCTGGGCGTTTGGCTGACTCGCCAGCAAAGTGTTTGCCGAAACGGTTCTTTCCCCAGCTGCTGAAGGTCGAAAAAGTTGCTGCATGAACGGCTCAATGGCTTCCCAGCTCAACTTAATCGATGTTTGGCCACCAAAGCTACCAATTTTGGTGGTAAAGCTACGAGTACAATATTATAAAGCTAAGAAGCACGCAAAAGCGACCTTTAACCCTTCATTGATTTACTCATTTGGATGGTCGGCCTAAAACTAAAATTTTTTTTGAAAAACAATCAGCATTTTATTTTCATGACTGTTCAGCTTATTTAAAAGTTTTTATATCATTTGTTCTACAAAGAAGTAAACGTTGTCATCACGTTTATCCGTTGGGCTTGCCTATTCATTATTAAAAAATAAAAAAATAATAATAATAATAAATTTGTATAAAGTTAGTTTAGAACTAAGTTGCTTTTTTTGTCATTTAGCTCTATGGGTATTTTTGTACAATTTTTCCCGCTTTACACTGTCAATTGTTGTTTTACTATTTATGTTTCTCCATTTTGTTGAATTAAGTAGAACATGCAAAGCTGCCTGTACTCTTAACATAAAGATATAGATAGACATATTTACCACACTTATATTTACAAGTGTCTAATGTCTAAAGAAAAGTAAATAAATTGAAATAATTATCATGAAACAAAAACTCATTTGAAATGCCTATTATATATGTATCATGCAAAGATAAAGTTTCTCATATAAAAACAATTTTGACATATTGACATATAATGGTCTGATCTGATTTATATTCCTGAATAAATCTATATACATTTTAATTTGATATTGAACAAGTGTCTTTTTCGGGCCCTGACTTTTAATGTACTTACATATAAAATGTGAAATATTTGTGGTTTTTCTTACAGTTCGGCAGAAGTTTGTGCTAAAAATATGATATTGAACTTTATTTTTCTGGCCGATTTTACTTCTCTAATTCGAAGTCTTACGACCACACCCAATTCCGGCATTCGCGAGACTTACGAAATAAATGAGAAAACTCCATCTCGAAGGTACTAGATTTATGCTGAAAACGATAAAGTCGAATTTAGATTCAATAAATATCTTTATATACAACGTTTTGTAATGACTCCCTTTTCCACTTAATATCGGAAACATGAGATATATTTCTGAATACGAAAGCCCAAGGGTAAACGTATTGATATCGCAAAACTTTGGCGACTTAATCATATTCACAAAACGGAAACAGGCCTGCTCCAATATCATTTCAAAAACCAATAACAACTGGAAGTTGTCTACTAATATTTATTTATTTATTTAGAAACCTTGAAATAATTTCAGACATTTTTTTTGTCTTGTCATAATTTGTTTTTGTATATTTGTTTAATTAAGGACCGATTTTTTTTAAATTGAAGTCAAAATTTCTGAGGGTTTCAGATGATCTTAACCTTCTTAGACACGTATCGGGTTAAATTAATAAAACAATTTCTGAACTATTTTTATACCCTGTACCCAAAGGGTATTAGTTTTGTGCGAGTGTACATGTAACACACAGAAGGAGGCGTGGCAGACCCCACAAAGTATATATATTCTTGATCAGCATGACAAGCCGAGTCGATATAGCCATGTCCGTCTGTCTGTCTGTATGAACGCAAGGATCTCAGAAAGTGTAAGAGCTAGAATAACCAAACTTAGTATACAGATTCTCCTGAGCCCGAAAAAGGACGAGTATGTTCATTTTTTCTGATGCACCCCCCACTCCCCCCTATTCACGATTTTCTCCCGTAACTCCCGTAATTCTTGGAATTTTGATCTAAAATTTAGTAGACACGTCCAGTTAGTGATTATATATCCGTATACCAATATGATAGAAATTAGAAAGAAAGTTATAGCCATTTAACCAGGCCAATGCACACATACACACATACAAGTATGTACAAGTACACCAACACGCATAGACACGATTCTGATGTAAGTGTAAATGCATGTATGGAATATTTTATATTTAATTTAGTTAATTAATTAAATTAATTTAAAATTATTAACTAATTAATTAAATTAAATTAATTTATTTTTTTGTGGGGTGGTACAGGGTATTTAAGTGTTGAGCCTGCTCGACTTTAGCATTCCTTTCTTGTTTGTCTTATCATAATTGGTTTTTGTATTTTTGCTTAATTAAAGATCGAATTTTTGTTCTTTGAAGTCATCATTTCTGAGGGTTTCAGATGATCTCAACCTTTTTAGATTTGAGATTTTTATTGTCATTAACTTAGAGAAGATTGGCATCCATCTATTCTAGTCGCTTTAGCAACGGCAACATAAAATGCAAAAGTTTCCAGTAACTGACAACATTAAACAACCACAAGGACGAAGACGAAGACACGTAGGACGACAAGGAGGGCAAATGTCCGCTTCAGGCAAAGAAGTGAGCGACATTATTAGCTTTGCCAACAGCGGGCGGCAAAGGCAAAAACTGCCGCTGAAACAGACAAGTAAACGAGCTAATGCTGTTGCTGTTGTTGTTGCTGTTGTTGTTATTGGTGTTGCTGCTGCTGTTGTTGTTTTGGCTGTTACAACTTGCTAGCTGTAACAATATTGCACTGCCAGCAGAAGCATACGATAAACAACACTGACATCGCGCACTTTTTTGAAACTGTTTATATGCAACATTGACAACTCGGCGTGACGCGACAGTTGCAAGCATAGCTTCATAGCTTCATAGCTTCATAGCTCCATAGCTCTATAGCTCCATAGCTCTATAGCACCGCAGCTCCATGCAGCCCAGTCATAAAAGTTGTCTGGCTTAGAAGAAAACGCACATACTATATAGTAGTACATCGGACGAAAGACGAAGGACGAGCAGCGGACACTTGCCATGTGTGTGCTGTGTATAAAAAAAATTCCAAGACGAAATGCAAAATACGAAGGAAATACAAATACACTGAGCACAATTCTTGCTACACAATGAAACAAGTTCTGAAATAACCTTTCTAGCAGACGTAAATGAGGATATTAAATTGAAATATAAGAACGCAGTTTTAATTTAACATTTTAGCTTTTAGCATAATACAGTTAAACCCCGACTATCTGCTCATCTATTAGCCGGGAACATGTTCTATTTGACCCTCGATGATACACTTCTATTATCCGTGATACATATAAAGATGCTGCAAATATCCTCATTGGAACACAATCAGATGTTATAATAACGCCTGAACTAACGCTATCGCAAAGCGGATAGAGTGCGAGGTTGATATCGCAACGTTTGCTAATATAGCTGCAAACGAAATCGTAAACATGGTTCCCACCAAGGGCAAATTCCGATAATTCGGATGAAGGAATTCTGGAAACGATACATCACTACAATTGTCCAGATATTTCAGAGCCAGACAGAGCTCTTCTAGGTGTGCCGAATGGATGCTTGTTTTGGCGCTTGGTTTCGGGTTTGTATTGTGGGAGATGTTTTCTTAGTCTTTTCTTGACTCCCTAATGATGTATTTCCAATGTTGAATTGTGAGCAATTTTTTAACATTACTGTACCGATAGCACAAAGGCAGTCTTGCACTGTGTATGCAATAACTGGGTTCCTGAAAATTCGATTGCGATGTTAATTTGGCGGGAAATTTTATTTAGGGATGAACAAAACATCAACGTACAGTTTTTAGAAAACAATTCTTTAGTTCGGATTGTCTAGCTGAAGATATATCTTATGAACATGACATAAGATTCATGTAAATCCTTTATTGAAGATTCACAAAAAAGATAAGCGAAATAGAAAATAAAATTGAAAACTCGTTAATAAGTATCTGAGTCACTAAAGGGCGATTGAACTTGAAGATCTCTCCAGACCCAGGAAGAAAAGACTTAAGAAAAGTCATTCGAAGGATCTGCCCATGAGATGCCTTGTGTACAATATATAATATATCATAAAATATATTCCATATTGAATCTAAAAATATATATACATGGATTTCAGTGTGTCCTATGGATGTTTACTATGGACAACTACGAGTAGTACAAGTATTGTATTCCCCATTTATTTTCAACTAGCTTAAATGGCAGCTTAAGCTCAATGGATTGTATATAAATATTTTAGAAACAAAAAAATGAGCCTCTTTAATTTGTTGTTAAATAATGATCAAAGATCAGTTAAATGTGTTGCCGCTTGTCCGCTCGCAGTTCTTCAAGTGCATTCGAGCCATGTCGTTGCACGTTCATTTGCAAGCGCTGGCAGATTACGGAAGATGCAGCAACGGGCGGCAACTGCTTTGCATAAAGCTTCCGTCAGCCAGAAAGTGGGCATATGAACATCATGGAGTATATATATATGTGTGTGTGTGTGTGTGGCTGCGACTATATTACATTTTATGTCAAGCGCGCACGCTTTCAATATTGACAGACGCCTGCTGTCGCTGCTGATGTCTCTGCTGCTGCCGCTGCCGCTGCCTCTGCTACGAGCACCGTCGCGACGCAGTTGTTGCAGCGATTTTGGCGCTGCTAACAAACGGCACCTGTCCTAAGTCCAACAACAATAACAACAACAACAACAACAAGACCAACAACAACGGCATCAACAACATCGGCAGTGGCATGTCAAGTTAATGTTAACTTATTTTCCTATCTTGGCATTCTCGCATGTCGCTAGCATTTTGTCGGAAGCGGAAGTTGAGCCACCCGCCGAGTGCAGCCAAAAATATCTGCCACAGTTTCTTGCAACTCGGTTCTTTCCAAATGAAAAACGCAATTTTGTCACAGCCAGAAAGAAGCAGCGGTAGACGCATGAAATATTTCCGACTCCACCCACGACTCTTCCCAATCCCAAACCACTCCACTCCACTCCACACCACCCCATCCACATCCATGTCCAAAAGTACAAGCAATACTACAAGTACAAGTAAAAGAACGCAAATCGCAGTATTATGGAAAATACATTGTAAATATCAGAGCAAAAAAAATAAATAAATTGTAGCATACACTGCACCTAGAAGGGCTCGCCCACCGGCTTGATGGTTAGTTGATGCACTTGCACATGTGGGGGCGTGGCCAGGGCATACATAATGCCATTCGAAATGTCCTCCGGCTGCAACATGTACAACGCATTGAAGTTATCCGGCAATATCTCGGTTCTTGTAACGCCGGGACTGATGCTCTGGAAAAGATAGAGAGGAATAGAGATCGACAGTTAGGCAGTGTGATACATGCAGAGTATTTGAGGAAAGGGCATCTTTGTCTCGTCAATATATTCCGTGCTGTTCTTAGATTTATGACATCATACAAACATAAGTTGTAGTGTACTATTATATAATTGCAGAAGAAAGCTAACAGAGGGACTTATTTACAACGAATGATAAATTCTACACAGGCAAATGAATACTAAATACACTCAAAGAAATTGCATAGTGCAAACCAATACTCAATTCAACGTTGTAATATTTCGTATTTAAATCAAATCACATCGTATCAATATTTTTGTATTATTGATTTACTGATTGAAATATAATATTCCGTATTTAAATCAAATCACATCGTATCAATATTTTTGTATTATTGATTTACTGATTGAAATACGAATAATTTTTAAAACATGGTGCAAATCTTTGTTACTAAACTGTTTCTTAATATTGTTGATTTAATATTGTGTCAATATTTTTCTCAAATTTAATTTAAAGTTCTTTTTTATTTTATATAGTTAATTTGAATATTTTCAAATATGTAAAATAAAGACAAACATTGACAAGAATTCCCAAGTCGGTTTTCAGAGGTTCTGTGGTAAATGCAAAATGTAAGCACTGGTCATTAAGTAGTATCAAGCAAGTGTATTCAATCAGTTCTACCTCATTTTAAATATCATAATTTAGCTAAGCTAATATTTATCACAACTAAAAGCTTGGAAGATTTTTTTCTAAAGTATACTATCAAATAAATGTATGTAATATTCATGCAGGAAGTAAACATCACTATTGAAAAGCATTTTTCAATACTATTGTTAGCGGAGTAGATATACAAAAGTAGAAAAAATACAACTGGAGAAGATAAAGTCAGGTGTCCCTACTTTGAAATAATCTGTACACAATGCATAAAACAGAATAATTAAACAAACAAACATAATTAAAAAAGAAATAAAAAAAAGTAAACAAATTTATATGTAGAGTATAAAAACGTCCGCGTCAACACTTGTGCTTAAATATCGTCACACTTTAAATTCAATATTTTAAAACTCAAATACTCAAGCACACTATGGTAAAAAAAATTGTTGAAAAAAAAATTGACGTGTGTTTTTTATGAATCGAAAGCTCATTGGTACATTTTGTTAATTCACAAAACGTCAATTAACTGTAGAATATTGCTTCAAGAAGTAGATAGCAAGTGAATCGAAAGTTCTGAATAGGTTTCACGATACTAAAGAGTATTAATCAACTTTCACGCACCGTCACTTTGATTTGCGTCTTAAAGTCGCGAAACTCCTGCCGCAGAATCTCGAGCATCCCAGTAATGCCATGCTTCGAGAGCGGATACATATTCAGATTTTGCGCCACATCACCGGGCGGATTAAAGACCGTTTGTCCCGTGAGACTATTGATTAGCACAACATGACCAGCCACGTCGCGCTCCTGCATAGACTTGAAGGCCCGACGCGTGCAATAGACCGAGCCCATCAAATTGACTTGCAACACCTGCTGCAACTTCTCCAGCTCCAAGGTGAGCAACTGGCCAGTGTGCAGGGTGCCCGCATTATTCACCAATATATCCACACCTCCCAGCTCCGTCTCGATCCAATCGAAAGCCTGCTTCACCGAATCCGCATCGCCGACATCGCAGCTCAACGCATGGAGGCGTTCCCGCTGTTCCTCGGGCAAATCGTCACGCAACGCCTCAATACGTTCAACGCGGCGGGCCAGACCCACGGTGATGCAACCGGCACGCACCAGATCCTTGGCCACGGCCGCACCAATGCCCGAGCTTGCCCCGGTGACGACTGCCACACGATCTTGCCAACGCTCCATATCACGGATTTCTTGTAAAGTTCTTCTCGCAAATTGTTAAAGCTTGATAGATGCTCGTCGTCGTCGTCGTCGTCTCTAACTTGCTGCCGATGCTCAAGTAACTGAAGCTACCAGTCGCTAGGCCTTCCATTTTATTTGCATGCCAAAAACACAAGAATGTTTAATAATTTTACAAGTATGCGCCTTGTTTCCGCATTTTTAATTTCGCACTTAAATGTTTAATAGTCGCCTCTGCAATGTTCGGAGCCCAACCCGCGGCTCACACCCCGCCCTCCTTGTCCCAAGGCGCAACATATGCGCACACACACCATATGAATAATTAAAATAACGTCCAGCGATTCATCCATCAGTGCGCCGAATCGCGCCGGTCAGCTGGCCGATTGTTCATTGAGGCAATTAAAAGGTCATCAATCAAACAATATACTCGCACTCGCCAACATATTGCGACTTGAAGCAACTTATTTAAGGTCTATGGCGGCATCGCATTCCAGAACATACTTGTACCTACATATATACGTACAGTTCGGGGTGGGCGGAAAAACAGAAACATTCTTGGAGTGAAGTGCCAGCAGGCGCCTCAATAATGCAAACTTACAGCTGACAAGTTCTCTCTGTCGGCAGTTAACCAATGCCTAATAGATTATGGCACAGCTCATTTGAATATTAAAGCTAAAAATTGTTGTTGTTTTTTTTCTAAAACATTGGCACACAATCCCACCCCAGAAGTTCTTTCCTTGCTTTTAAATTGAGGTAACAATATCTTCACGATATGCCGATCATAGTTTAGTTATCCTACTATTCCGATTAGAATAAAAACCACAGAGTTCAACACCGAAATTGAGGAATTAATTAGTAAAAAAAATTGTATGCCGAGGAAGAGGTTTGAAATTGAAAATATTCCACGCCAAATACAGTTTGCGGATCAACAATTTAGCATTCCGCAAGGTATTGCTTCTCTTCCATTGCTTCTCAGTATAGGTCTGGTGCCTGAAACGGAAAAATCTGTTCAATTGAATTAAGGAAGGGCTGCCTGTCCTTCCAAAGAAATTGAAGAAAAAACGACAGAGAGCATTACATTATGAAAGGATGAGCTAGAATGCGAACAGGACATCGAAGAAAATGTGTCAAGAGCAGCTGATGGACGATATATCGTTGCTGTGCCATTTAAAACACACCAAAAAAGTTAAGATATTCTGAATGTCAAGCTAAACGACGTACAAGTATTTCTGCATTTGGAAGAAAATTCAATAAAGACCCAAGCCTAAAAGAGCAATATACAAATTTCATAAAAGAAGAATATATAGTATTAGGTCATATAAAGTTATTTGCAAATGCCGAAAAATTGGAATCCAAATATTATATCCCTCATCACGTCGGGGTCACCAATGTTTAGTGCGGACTCCACAAAACTTCGCCGCATGTTATTTTGAGGTCCAAACGCCTAGTATCATAATAAATGAACTACGTAGGCACGCCTCCACTTTCTTCATGCAAATACAAATATTTCAGACCAGCTTTATCTTTGAAACATAAACAGTTCGTTATACAAAAAGTTTTTGAAAATCATATATCTTCTATAACAGATAACTAAGCCCTTGACGAGGTAAGAAAATTAATGCCGGAGGAAGACTGCAACTCACAAAATTTCTGTTAGTATGTTGTGTCAAAAGAACATAGTTCGATTATATAGTATAACTAATACTATATGTTATAATTATATATAGTATATAATTTCCAAAAACTTCACAATGTTTTTCGAAATTTCAACTCACAAATCAAAAAACTACCATTTTTATGAACGACTTATAATAACATCGGACTTCATTTAATTACCTAAACCTTTGAACGGATTTTTCGATTTTGACGTTTCATAACTGCGTCTTTGGATTAAAAAATGGATTTTCAAAAAGTCTTCAAAACTGCGATGCAAACATTTTTTAAATCCGAATCCAAATTTTGAAAGCATGATTCACTTTTAATAAGCTATAACATTAGTTTATTGTGCGGACATAATGGTCTACCATTTTTGCTTCTCGAATATAATAACGTTTAAGGCAAACATAACATACCCTTTTCACATTGGAGTAAAGGGTATACAAAAAACGTTCCTTTCCGTTGCTTAAATTTCCTCCGACTAAGCGACATGCCTAGAAAAGAGAGATAGATTTATATTGCAAGTCCTTTTGAAATTGTTTTATCTTTTTTAATGTTATCCAAGAATAATTCATTTAACGACAAGCTTTTTTCCCTTTAATCTTTATTGAAGATCCATTATTAAATTATATACTTATATATATACCTTGAAATTTGTTCAATCATGCATTCTGCCATGATGGTTGTGATGTGAATCTTCAAGAAAAATTACGATTGCTCGCTCATCGAATAAAAGAGCGATTTAATTTTTAAGCAAAACATGCTTCATTTCGTCTCGCATTGCACTTGAAATTGCAATACTTTGGAATATAATTTCCAACTGACTTTTCTGAGGTAGAATATGCTGAGGTAGTATATACATGTACTACTTATACTTAGACATACTTGCCCATATATATAATATTAATTGTAAATAGATAATACCAGCAGATGACTTACTGGTTTTTTGTAGCCACAAGGCCACGTATGCGTAATCCGATATAGCAGTTGCGGCTGAATCGACTTTTGAAACCAAAAGCTTGAAGACATAGGCGCAGCATCGCTCGCTCATTAATATAGAGGGCTAGTTCTGCCCAGTAGAGGCGCGACTCTGGCTAATATCCGAGACAATGCAATGCCAACGTCAGTTGTTGAACTACCAGCTGCGATCGTTGGGCTTCATTGTGACACTGCGTCTGGTCATGGAACGTTGGCAAAATCGCGTCGCTGTCGTAACTGGTGCCAGTTCGGGCATCGGTGCATCCCTGGTGAAGGAGCTGATCGCTGCCGGAGTCGTAGTGGTGGGTCTGGCACGCCGTCTGGAGCGCATGGAGCAACTGCGGCAGCAACTGCCTGAAGCTAAGCGAGATCAGCTGCATATAATTCAATGTGACGTCACTCAGCCGAGTGCCGTAGAGACAGCTTTTGATCAGGTGGTGGCCCAACTGGGCGGCGTCGACATACTGGTGAACAATGCGGGAAAATTGTCGGGTGGTCAGCTGCTGACAATATCGCTGGACACTGTGCAGCAGGTGCTGCAAACAAACATCATGGGCGTCGTCTACTGCACTCAGCGTGCCTTTCGATCGATGCGGGAGCGCAATGTGGCCGGGCATGTGTTCGTCATCAACAGCATTGTGGGGCACTATTTGTTTAATCCGCTGCAAGGACACATGCAGGAACTGAACATATATCCGCCCACCAAATACGCTTTAACTGCTATGACAGAACTATTCCGCCAGGAGATGCGCGACTTCAAGACTAACGTGAAGATCACGGTGAGTGGCAGGTGCTGGAATGATGTTTATCCATCTCTAACATTTCTCTGGATTCACAGAGCATCAGTCCTGGCCTGGTGGATACGGAGCTGGTGCCGCAGCATTACAAAACCTTGCCAATGCTGAAAGCTGACGACATAGTTGCCGCTATCATGTATTCCTTGGCCACACCTCCCCATGTGCAGGTGCACGAGTTGACCATCAAGCCAATGGGTGAGCCATTCTAATCACTGGATCAATGGAAGATTCTATGAGAAGATTCTGTTAGTACTCTTAAATATTTTCATTTATGTAACACCAATGTTAACCACACTCTACTATATGTAGAAAGCAAATAAACTCCAAAAGCCATTTATATAACGCCTAAGCGATCAATTAAATTCATTTGCTTGTAGACCAATGCAAATCATGATAAGTAATGCTGAATTTGTTGATCTTTACAATTTTAATTGCCTCCCTACTCACTTATCTTTCTGTCCTTTAGTGTTTCTCCACAAATTGTTTGTCGGGAGAGCCGATTTTTCTTCCGTTTTAGGCTCTATGCTTAAGTTATAATAATTATATTTAATAAACATTTTCAACTCAATAAACTGTTCAACTGAACTCACTCTCTCTTCCCTTTTTAAAAGCCTCGCTTTTCAGCCATCTTCGGAATGTAACAGTTAGAAGGAAGCAGCTTCGACCCCACACCGTTAATTATTCCTTAACAGCAATATGAGAAAACTCGGTACAGCCATGCCCGTCAGTCCGTCTGAATGGATGAACGTTTGTATTTCGGAAACCGTTGAGCGCACATTGACCAAACCTGGCATTTAGACTCTCCTCTTCCCTAGGCAACATGAGTTTTTTTTATTTTATTTTATATTACCCCCATTCTGTAGCTATCTATCAATAGTGTTTCCACAAACCAAACCTTGTACCTAATTGTTTCAATTTTCATCGATTGATTCTGAGAAAAATTTTCAGTGAGAAAAGTTGATTCCAGTACTACGGGTACCCCCACAAACGGCAGAAGTGGGTTTGCCCTTCATCTCCTTTTTGTATTCTTGTAGCGTTCTATCTGGCTTAAGCTTTAGGTTGTAATTCCTACATACGTGCTCTTTATCCTCTAATAATAATTGTGTAATACTACTTCAATAATTGCATCTAAAATTTGTATTTCATTTATATTTTTCTCAAAGATGTTCTTGGATTTCTCAAAATATTGTATATATTGGAAGTCAAAATTAAACTATAAATCGCAAAATTGACATTTTTGCAGATTACAAATAACAAGTGGTAAGACTTCATAAAAAAAGAAATTTGGGTTAATTAGTCACTAAGTTAGTCATATCGTTGCACGTCGAACCTTCAATCGAATATTCAATCACATCAAGGCATTCAAAACAATTTAATTCGACTAAACTAAGCTGAGCAGGTGGCGTGTGGTAATGAATTATTGACGGTTTAGATTCGAGAGCCTGTCACAGCTGCATCGGCAGACAGGACGACAACAACAAAAATAGCAAACGCCAACAGCTGCACAAGAAAGTTTTTGTTCGAAATATAAATAAAAATCAATTTAAAATGAATTTCTTAAACGATTCCTTGCTGCCAAAACTCAAACAGTCGTGCCGCCTGACGTTGTACAAAAAAACAAAAAACACGAGTTGTTATAGTGGGGGAGGGGGGTCAGAGGGTAAGGTTATGCTGCCGGCAAATGGCAGAATTTGCCTGCTCAATAGTTAGCTAATAATATTCTACTTTTTTACAAATACATACATATACATATTATATTATATACATAGGAGTTTGTACATATGGCGGGCAAATCTTTCGACTTTGTTTTACATCGAAAGACGTCTCGAGACAGCCTACAGATGTTTGTCTGAGTGGGTGCGGGTGTTGAGCACCACGAGTAGGTTAAGGGCCATGGGCACACGTGTTATTTGCTCACGTGTTTATGGAAATTGAGCAACGTATTTCAAGTTGAGGAACAGCAAAAACAACAGCACCAATGTCAACGACAGGCTGAAGTTGCAAAACGAAAGAAAAATTGCTCATGGAAATTTCACTGATTACGTATTTGCTGAGCAAAGAAAGTGAGCCGCCAGACTACTGCTCCCTCTCATGTTTTTGTTTTTGTAGCAAACTTTTAGCAAACAGCGCCGACAAAACGGTTTATTAGGCACATTAGACGCACGGCTAAACGACGCAGGCGGAGGCGGAGATGAAGATGGAGATGGAGACAGCGTTTGTATCTCCTCTATCTATCTATACTTGTACTTGTATATCTACTCGGGCAATCCGTTAGCAGCCTTTGTTTGTATTGCTCTGTGGATAATGCTTTAATTTGTTGTATGAGCATAGCTTAAGTTGGCTGCAAGTGGAATTTAGAGGTCCGGAGCATGCAAATCAGGTGCTCGCATCATTATCACGCGACGGTGTTTTCTGCATAAATGGGGAAAAGCAGCAGCAACATCTGCTTCTTTTTTTTTTCTTTCTCCCTCGGCCATAATTCAAATTTGCAGCTTTCTATGCTAATTCATTTCATTCGCCACACAAAAGATGCCACTCGGGTTACGGGAGTGTGTTGGTGTGTGTGTGTGTGTGTGTGTGGCAAGCATTGCATTGAAACGAATCCACAGTCCTACACAGCCAAGGCCAATATGGCAACTAACTACCAAACGCTTTTCCTCCTTTCTTGCGCAAAAGTATGCTACAATTTATGCACGTATTGAAATAGCTCCTATCTACATACGAGCATGTACATACACACATACATATGTGTATAAGTATATATGTTTGGGTGTGTGTGTCAAAACATGTGTTGTGTAAACGATAGACGACGACAACAACAACAGGCTGGCCGCATAAAATGTGCAAGAAGACGCGAAATTTGCATTTGCTATGACCCTCAAAGGCGCAAACAAGGAGCCAACAGCTTCACCTTTCATATCCCTTCCATACACTGCCACAAAAAAGGACCAGGCTGGCCTAGAGCTAGGGCTTTAAAGTGTCACATTTATGTTGTTCAACCGCTTAAATAACTAACATATATAAATGTTTTAGCGACGAGTGTGTTCGTCCATCAATCAGTCTGTCCAATTGAAAAAATTAAATAGGCGAAGCAGAAATTTACGCTTGGACTTAACTTATATTTAAATTTGATTTTGATTTTATCCCTCTTCGAAAAGCAATTTACTGCTATTTTAATTCAACTAAAATCCATTTTCAAGTGCTTGGCTCTGTTTCGCTTTATTTGTAGTAAATTTGCTAATGTAATTGGAATTGGTAACAAATATTTGCCAACTGACTGTCTTGCATGCCTAAAGAAACACTTTTAATCAAATATTTCTTGCGATATCAATAAAAGCACATTACTGCTTTGGCTTCACCCCTTTTTGCATTCAAAAGCATAAACACAATGCCAATGTAAGTGTTATTTAATTGAAAAATGGTTTATAAAGATATGTTTAAGTTTTTATTTGAACAAAATGTAATCAAAATAAAACCTCTTGAAGGAATACCAATTAGCAGATATTTTTAGAGTATTTCGGATATATTTAGTAGATGCCTTGATGGTGGAAAAATTTGAAATGAAACTTTGATTTTCATTTACAAAAACATGTTACTCATGTAACTAACAACATAAAATGTTTGCTATATAAAATAATTTATTAATTTAAGCTCTAAATTTTATAAAATAGGTTCAATCAACTTAAATTTGTTTTATGTAAATTGTATGTTTCTTGTGCCTAGTGCATTAATTTATAAGAATTTTCTCTTGTCGCACTAGGAAATAATAATAAAAAAATAAAATAAATAAATAAAGCCGCTTACTTTTATAATTCATATTCCCAAAAGCGGCCTAGCCTACAAATTGATAATACTCCGAATATATTGAGTAGGAGCTTTCTATGTTATTGAAAAACTGGCACATTTGCATTTGGGAGTGCGTGATTTCTTATTGTGTAGAGATATACATACTTGTGGCTGTTGCTCCATTTGTTGTTGATGCTGTTATGCCCTCGCCTTTTTGCATTTATGTCCTTCCTCTGCATATGGCAACCATTTGGGCAAATATGTTGAAAAACACGCACGCCATTTGTTGCATAATTATGCGAACATCTCGTCCTGGGTATAGCCCAGGGGCAGCAGCAGCAGAAGCAGCAGCAGAAGAAGAAATCACTGCAGAGGCGACGGGTGAGACAGTAAAGTCAGGACGGGTGGCTACAGCTACAATATGTTTCCGAGCCATAATGAAGGACCATTTGGCATTTTATGTGTTAAGCCCCGATTTCGTTTTATGCCCAGACGCTCGCCAGGTGGGAACGCAAACGCCTGCACATAAGGTTGCACTCGATGTTGTTATGGCGAGCATAAAAATCGGCAAATCGAGCAGTTTGCCGCAATGGTGGCGCCCACTGCCAAGCCACGAGTGGCCCACAATGTTGCACACTCGCATAAAGGGCGCTGCCCCAAGCATTAAAAGTTGCCCGTATCCTTGTTGCAACAATGTTGTCGCTAACTTTGGTCATGCTTGGCATATTCGCACCCCTTTTTGATTAACATATAATACTGGCATTGGCTAAATGCAAAAGGCAAAAGGGAAAGGCGATGTTGACTTCCTCACAATGCCATGATTGATACGATTTTAATGCGCAATCGCATTTATTTTGGCTGTGACGCTCCTTCCGGTCCTGGCTAACTGGTAATTAGAAACCGCATGTCGGCAACATTCGTTCTAGTTGCCAATTGCCAGTTGCCAGTTGTTTCAGCTTCCAGTTTTGCCAACTCAGGCAAACTGCAAATTCTTTGCCATCACTTTATGATAGGCACTTCCGTTTGAGCCACATCTGCAATTGGCAACAGTTCAAGGCAAAGTTGGTGCGGAAATGCAGCAAATTGGTGCAGGTGGAGTGAGAAACTAGACGACATCGGCTTTAATTAAAACGAACACTCTCCAATACTGTCAATGCGCACAAATTGAAGGCTTACGCATCGCCTGGATTAAGCGATTTATCAGGAATTGCTGCAGCAAGGCCAGAAAATGTTCATTTCGTATCTCCTAATGACCCTTTAACTGTTAAAGGCAACAAAATTATGGTAAATAAGCCTTTTTTAACAGTCATTCCAATGGCATTCATAAACAAATTTTCCACAAAACTCGGCAAAACCAAATTGGTTTCCAACCCAAGGACTACCTGGACGCAGAATCAGCGACAAAAGAAACAATATAATTCGATAAATTATTCATTTTGAGGGTCAAGGTACATTTAAAATCCAATAAGCGCCTCGATGGAAAATCATCTCAATCATTTATTTAGAGCAGAGACGTGAGATAGAGTTTTATTTTTTTGATCAAAAACTTAA